AAATACTGCACAGATATTAATCCTTACAACACCTGTTTGGGGTAGGTGAGTAAATATGTTACCCATTTTTCAGATGAGGAAACTGCGGCATGTAAAAGTAAAGTGACTTACTCAAGGCCACAGAGTGAGTCAGCTACACAGCCTGGATTAGAACTCAGCAATTCCTGATTTTCTACCCTGTGCTCATTCCTACAGACCTCGCTGCCTTCACTGACCTTTTTAAAGTAATATGGACAAAGCACTACAAAATGTACCATTTCTACTGTACAGCAAGCAGGGCCTTATCGCCATAAAGTCATCTCTTTCTCCCCTCCCAGTTGATTTGTGAAACAAAGATTTATTAAATCTCAGAAGCAGGACCTTCTTGGATGTACATCCTGTCTCTCTAGGTCAGCTTTTAAGAATTACTCTCTCAATGAACAATTAACACCTTATCTAGCAAACTGGTTTAAAGAGAAGCGGCATAGATCTGTGTAATGGACCTATGTTGGAGGCAGCACCTTGGATGGGTTGATCTACATTTGGTAAGTGCATCAGTACTATCCAGGTTATTTCATGGGTCCACCACCATGACGTTTGGGAGCCTTCCTGCAAAGCACTTAGCAATGTGACTAGCATCTATCATGTGGCCCCACGTTCATCCAACAAAAATCTCCCCACCACCAAACTCATTATGGGACAAGTTTCCCAAATTCTTAGGAAACTCCAAACTTCTGAATCTATCCCTGCTCCCCTGCCTCAAGGCATGCCCACAATAGCAAGCCTATTAAAAATATTATGTTCAACAAGACACCTGGATTCAATTATTTTTCCCTTTTCACTCCAATGTTACGTGTGGCCCAAATGACTGCAGTGAGCTTTTGTTCTCGTCCCTGTCTAAGGGACTTTGCTAAAGCACTATCGAAGGCCTGAAAAGCAAAATTCACAACGTTGCACTAACTCAAAATCTAAAAACTTTTGTGGGACAGATGAGTGCTGAAAAATTAACTTTCTGGACCCTTCCTCTGCTGCATTTATTGCTGTCTTGGCAGATGAATTTCAGGTTGTTGCCACAGCCGCAAACGGCTTGTTCTGCCAACTGTACATTACTAACATTGGAAAGTGTCCAAACCTAGGAATCTTTTCTAAAAGCATTTGCTTCATACTTTAAATAACAGCCGCCAGGCGTGCTGGGGGATGGGGAGGGAGGGCTTAGCTGATCTATGTGATGCATTTACAAGATTTCCTGCCTCCTTTTGGTTCTTCCACCATTTTGTGGGACAAAAAGAAGTAAGATCCTGCAGAGAGAGAGAGAGAGAGAGAGAGACACAAAGATGATTTTGGGGAGGAAAAGCTGAGGAGATGTGACCTCTAAATCTTCAGGAGAAACAAACTCTTCAAGGCTGACAGTGGGGGAAACTTCCACTAGTGAGTGAACACTTGGCAAGAAGTGGCTGAATTGTAGATTGTTTCCATTCATTATGAGCTTACACCTGCTGGCTCCCATAACTTCACAATTTGCAGAGAACTCTGATAAGTGCTCGGCACTCAACACAGGCTTTCATTTAGGAATTTTCTAACAGAATTTAAAGGGATTTTGTCCCCTACTTTACTTCATTTAAATTCCCTCCGCCTCTGCTGCTCTGTTTGCACGTTCAGTGTAACATTTCTCCTTTTCCTATCAATTATGTTCCCCATTGGGCAGATTATTTTAGTTTGCTATTTTGTTTTTTAAATTAAGCATTGCAACAATAAAAATGGATTATCATATATATATTTCCCCGTGTTAGTGTTGTGCTGTCCACCAAAAATGTCAACCATTATGTGGCCCAGTGCCAAGAACCCTGCCCTACTCTGGTCATTGCTGGAAAACAACTTAAATTCCACAGGTGGGCTCCCTAACAGACAACCAACTGGATGCTCAGATGAGCTTTTAGGTGTATGTGTGGTTTTTTTAAAGCTTGCCTTGCCCACGTGCAATCACTGTATATATATAGAGAGAGAGGTGTATGTAACATAAGACAAGCTTTACATAAGTGCCCATTTGAACACCTGCATGTGGGATTCGGATTTGTAATTCTTGTGTTGGGGAACACCTGTTGCAGTGCATTAAGAGTAGCAGCACAGGAATGAAGAGCGCACAACAAACTCACACACATTCTCACACTCTCTCTCACACATGTAGGTGTTGTAAAACTAATGAATTCCTTATCACACCACTGCCAAGTGGGTACACTCCACTTAAATGTCTTGACACCACAAATATACAGCTTTCCATTCAAGAGAGTGCGCCCGCGAGTGGCTCTTAACCCATTAGGCTGCCCAGCGATAACAGATGGATGTTCCTAGACTTCATCTGTTCAACACATTGCAACACACTGAGCTGCTGACTTGACTCGACCACACAATGAAGTCCTTGCCTCATCTTGATGTAAAATGCTCCACTATTTCTGGATAAGCCTCAAGTCTCATTCCCATCTCTAACCCTATGGCATTAAGCATGCTCTTGGCTGCTGTTGCCTAGCTGGGCACCGAGGGCTGTACCTGTGAAAGTTTTCACTGTGCTTCTGAGTGCTGTCGTAGGCCACATTAGATGCACTCCCAAGATGTATGTGACCCTCTTCCTCAGGCAGAGCTCTGGCTTCCCTTGCTCTCAACAGATCATAATGCAAGTCCTCTGGCTTTGCAGTAGATGCTCTGCCATTCACAATGCTTCCGAAGCAAAACCAGAACCTAAGCAATCAGCTGACATTAAGTGATTCTTGACTGGGGCTACATGGAAATAAAGACGAGGGGAGAACAGAAAGGAGATAAGGAAACAAACAACATGTGTGTAACATTCGGTACAAATGCAAGTATTGAAAAAGCTTCTCGTGACCCCAGCGCAAATGTACTGACATTTCAACATCTCTCCATCACCTTCTCAGGCTAAATGCCTCTGCAATGAAATGCTAGCTAAGAAAACGCAGAGGTGAAATTTCATTTCTTCAGCAGTGCAGTGCAGTACCAAATAAGCCGGCAATACAGAACAAAGTTCAAGGAACAATATTTTTAAGTAGCACTTATCCTAGTTAATGTTCAGCCCTGCTGTGCAATGTCAAGAAAACTAATGAATACTGAAGTGCCAGTAACTAAGAATCTCTTAAGTACCTACCCACTATGAAATTCTTTTCAGATTTCAGACGTAACCTGAATGAAATCTGAAAACAGTTTCCCTGTTTCTTCGTGACGACAGTACGGCTAAGTAACACACACAACACTTAATCAGAGATGACTGTTTCACAACAGCCCCCTCTCCCCCTTTTTAACTCTATGGAATCTGCGTTCTGCATTTCCGTTCCTAAAATAATAGTCTGTGAGGAGGATCCATGCCAATGACTCCTGCACATACAACCTAAAACGGTGTACTCAATGAAGAACTAAATAGGATTGAAGTTAGCGCACACATACACAAGCCAAGTACTGTGTTTATGAAATCTTCAACATCTGTTACAAGGCAACAATATTTAATTCTGAAAATGTCCAGCATGAATTTTGGCAAAAGGAATTGGCTGAAGCTTGGGCAAGCCTGTCTTGCCTCAGTTACTAATGGGTGAAATTCACCCCAAGGACTATGTGATGGCTGCCCCAACCAGGTATCTCCAGAGCTAAAAGCATGAGCTGCTACAGCTGGGGGCTGTAACCACTCATATCCTCTGCAGACTGGCACAGAAGGGGATCTATAACACATACTCACTTGTGGGTTCTACATGCAGCACTTAATCCTGGTTTCCTAAGACCTTTGGATTTACGTGGCGCATATGGTTTGGGCTTGATCTGCACAGGGCTGAACTTCAACCCCAAAAGGAATACTTCAAGTGACTTTCATCTGAGGGTCCCAAAGTGCTTTTCAAACAATAAATTTAGCCTCACAAAGGTGAAGGACGGGAGAATTATCCCTGTCAATACAACGGCTTCAAATTCTCTTAATTTTGTTTATGGTGCCCAGACACATCAGTGATGGATGGATAGGTAATGTTTAGATTCATTGTGCAGATGGGGAACCATGTAAGATGAAATTAAATTAATCACTCAAGGTCACACAGTGCAACTGTGTGGCAAAGCTGGGCAGAAAACCCAGATCTCCTGATGCCCAGTCCTATTCCTGTAACAACTAAACCACTGCCCCACATCCCCAGACCTTCAGCACTGCAGAACTCCTTGGGATGCTAAGCAAAGCTTTCATTTATTGACAAACTGATATAGAAACATCCCCTTTTTTTCTTTAAAAGCCTCCTGATGCCATGTGGAAAGCTTGGAGAAAGCATTCTATTCAGAGAGCATTCTGAATGTCTCCCTCCTCTTTTTAAATGATTAGGGACAATGGCACAAAAGTTGGTCTTTAAAGAGTTCATTGTTTCTGATGCTTTCTCCTTGCTTAAAGTCACATAGAAGAGAAGCCTGGTCTAGCAATACAAGCACAAGACTAAGAGCCAGGAAAAATTTCTAAAATCTAATACCAGCTCCTAAAGCCACGCCCTCCTCAGCCTCTCATCCTACCCATCTTCAAAATGGGTTTAATGCATATGTACCTACCTTACAGTGACATCAGAGATTCATTAGTTAACAAGCTTGATCCTGAAAACTTCACTTTTAAGAGCAGTCCTGTTCAAATTAATGGGAATGCTCATAGGAGGAAGGATGACTCCTGTGAATTAGAACTGGGCTCAGTGCGGGTAAAGCACTTCCAGGATAAACCAGATAAATGCTCAGCATTAGAGTGTGCAGACTTATAGTGCTTAACCGATCACTCTGGAAATGAGGACATCATCACAAACAGAATATTATGACTTCAAGTAACCATCTACAGAAACAAATGATACTTTCTTTCATGGAAATGCCTTACAAGTGGGAGAAGAAAAACTTTATAAAAGAGAATTGTCTCTATGTCATGGTTATTGTTTGTAACTTAATCAATACTGCCGATGCAAACAGAGCATGGTCTTTCTATCAGGCTCACAGCCCCAGAGTTCAAGCCTTACCTTGTTCCAACCTCTTCATCTGCTGGATTTGGTCGACCGTCTTTTTTAGAATCTTGCATTTGTCTGGCTTGACACTCAGGGTGTCGATGTCGCCAATGTTTGCCGACAGCAGCTCCGCCAGCTCCTCTAAGTATTTATTCTCTTGCTCCCGGCGTCGCTTTTCATTGCTGTGACAAAACAAAACTCCAGGTTAATGACTTTCCCACTGCTTCCCCCAAACAGGCATGTGTGTGTCTATCAGGCACCCAGAAACTTTTCTGCTTAGAGACAGGACGAAGCTGCAATCTGAATGTCTGCAAAATGCAGGACGATTTGGTTCAGGCCCTTGCCTATTTTTATGCAGAATGAGTCACAGAACGAAAGCCCAGGAAGACATGCACAATGCAGACTCAATACATTCCTCAAAGATATCTTTTTAGAAACCAACATTCAGGACTCCTTGCTTATTTCAGAAAGGGAACTATAAACCTGCAGTGCCACTTACCTTGCCAAAGCCAGCATTCAAGCTGGTGCAAAGCAGTCCTAACGTCACACACAAAGGATCAACAAAGTCCACTGAAGATTCACATTTTATTTTTAGTTGACTTCAGTGGCAGGACTGGGATGAAAAGCAGTATTGTTATTTTCAGAGTAACAGCCGTGTTAGTCTGTATTCGCAAAAAGAAAAGGAGTACTTGTGGCACCTTAGAGACTAACCAATTTATTTGAGCATGAGCTTTCGTGAGCTACAGCTCACTTCATCCACAGTATGCATCCGATGAAGTGAGCTGTAGCTCACGAAAGCTCATGCTCAAATAAATTGGTTAGTCTCTAAGGTGCCACAAGTCCTCCTTTTCTTTCAGTATTGCTATTGGTATCATCCCAACAAATGCCAACAGCAGCTCTCCTCCTTGAGGTCAGAGCCAAATGAAAGGGCCAAATACTTCCCCATGAACTCTTTCCCTATGGCAAAATTCAGAGGTGTGGACAAACTGCCAACAGCTGAGCTGTAACTTAGCTCTCATGAGAGTCCCTCTAGAGACTATAACATATTTCTGTGCCAAAGACACTGCGAACAGGAAAAGAGTGCAATGAACTGCTCTGTGACACACATACGCCCCCCTCTCTCTCACTAGCCTCGGTTTTTTTTGTTGATACAGACTAACATGGCTACCACTCTGAAACCTCTACTGAGTGGAATCAGAACTGCTCAAATGTGAATTATAGGCCTTATACTCTTAACAGCCAATGGAGAGTCTCTTATAGAGACTAGCAAGTAAAAATGTATATATACATACTATTTGCTAAATAAAAGTTTTTATAAAAACAGTCAAATCACCTTCCTTGCAACCTTCAGAAGGACGCAGAATAATAAATGATTTCAGAAAATATCATCTAAAAATGGATTATTCTCAACAATTAACAAGCTGATGTGACATGAGTGGTAGGTCACAAACAGGCCACAATTTTGAAACTGAGCTAGAACAGTTTCCAGATCATAAGGCAAATGCTACAAGGTACATTCATCAGATGGAAAGAGACAGGGAAAATTAAAAGGAATATGTTGGGGACTGAAAATTCTCTGAACATGCAGTCAAGTTCTGTCCAGCCAGTGCAGGAGGTTGTGCAGAGGAACAAGCTAAAAGCTGCAAAAAGTGATCAGTTCCATCTTCTGTATGTGGTAGTCCAGAGGTGGGCAAACTTTCTGGCCTGAGGGCCACGTCGGGGTTGCAAAACGGTATGGAGGGCTCGGTAAGGAAGGCTGTGCCTCCGCAAACAGCCTGGCCCCTCACCCTATCCACCCCTCCCACTTCCCGCCCCCTGACTGCCCCCCTCAGAGCCCCCGAACCATCCAACCCCCCTGCTCCTTGTCCCTTGATCGCCCACTCCCAGGACCCCCCACCCCTAACTGCCCCCCCAGGGCCCCACCCCCTATCCAACCCCCTCCTTCTCCCTGTCCCCTGACTGTCCCAACCCCTATCCACACCCCCGCCCCAGAGAGGCCCCCCCAGGACCCCCAACCCATCCAACCCCCCCCACACTCCTTGTCCCCTGACCGCCCCCTCCTGGGACCCCCGTCCCTAACTGTCCCCCCAAGACCCCACCCCCTATCCAACCCCCCTGCTCCCTGTCTCCTGACTGCCCCCGAACTTCCACCCCATCCAACTGTCCCCTGACTGCCCCCCAGGACCTCCTGCCCCTTATCTAACCCTCCCCACCATGCCGCTCAGAGCAGCAGGACAGGCTTATTGGAAAGCCTGGGAGGTGGGTGGGCGCAAGCCACGCTCCCTGTGTGGCAGCGTAGCTGCAGGGGAGGGGCCAGGGACTAGCCTCCAGGGCCGGGAGCTCAGGGGTCGGGCAGGACAGTCCAGCGGGCCGGGTGTGGCCCAGGGGACATAGTTTGCCCACCTCTGTGGTAGTCACTCTGTAAAAGTGGACACATACAAAATGCTTATGACCAGCGTACAGCGAGCAGCACTCTGATATGTCTGCAGCTACTGCTTAGGCTCCTTAGAGATTATTCCATCCCCAAATATCCAGCCAACTACACACCCATATACCCACAGGAAACTCTATGCACACACTGCACAGATGTTCCGGGGTTTACAGAGTTGTTCCTTTTTCTGATTTATTTCTAACAATATTATTAATTTTTTTCTGCTAGCCCTGACAGGTGTGCACTCTCCTCTGTCCTCTTCACTGTGGCTTGTACTCTCTGTAAACAACTAACAATTGCACACACTCCTAGATGGACCATCATGCCCCTCATCGTTCTGGAACTCTGGCTCCTCCCTGGTGCCTCCATTAGGCTGAGGTTCACCTTCCTACACCTTGTTGTCCTTTCTCCTTCCCCAAACTGCTGCACATAGGGTTGAGAAGCCAGAGAGGTAACTTTCTGATCAGCTGATACAGCAGATCAGGAGCCAGGTGGTCTCCCAGAAGAATCTGTATTTTGAAAAATAATCAACTACCTGACTGTGGACAACTCCACAGTGTCGAGAAAAGGAATAAAATTTGTGGTCTGGTTTGCCAAATCTGTGTAGCTTAGATTCCTGTTAAGTGACAGGTAACAAGTGACTGCTAGGCCTTTTCAGGGAGACAGGCAGCACTGTCCAATAACTTTTACGGGATCAGATAATGATTGGCTGCTAACTCAGGAGTGTGTACAGTTACATTCATTCTCCCATCAGGCAGCTGACAATGAAGTGATTGGTAGCTGTATCATACCCAAGCAAATAGTTAAATGTTACTGTAAACAGGCCAGTGGCAAGTTTGAGTTCCACCTTCCGCAAAATTGTTGGGTCTGTCCAGGCTATCATCTTATCCTCTTTTTGTAATTGGTATCAGTGAAATCTGAAGTAACTTTTGTGCTCTAGGAAGTGACCCACTTACATCAAGGGAAGGACTAAACTATACCCAATTACATTAGCTCCAGGGATCCAATGCACTTGGCAGGGGCCTAGAGGTATGTGAAAGAGAACATCTATCTGAAAAGTGTGATCTCCCCACCCCCACTACCATATGCATTTCAAAGGAAATGTTACTCAACATATTAACATACATACACTCCACAGAGCATGCTGTAAATAGGCCAATAAAATTTTCTGGTGAGATACCAAAGAGAAATATGAGGCACAATGCCAAAGGTCTGAGATTTCATAAGTTAAAAGGTAAAAGTTTGAATGAAAGAAAAACAAAAAAGAAAAAGAAAGAAAAACTGCAATCAATCTCTGTTTGCAAAAGCAACTAAAGCAAATCTAGTGGATCACTTTATAAGCAAGTCACAGAAACACCCCACATACCACACTGAGCCATGCAGATGAATACAGAGCAGCAACCAACTCCACTGCAGTGAGTCATTTTGCAAAACATTCAGACTCACACACAGGTAGGTCCTCTTTGCTTATTAAAGGGCAGGTAAATGTCTCAATAGAGTCGAATAGGTATTTCAGTTAAGGTCAAATTAATTTCCTCCCCTCTCTGTGAATCAAAAGGGAAAAAGAAGAAAAGCTACTTGTTGTGGGTGAACTCATTTGGTGCAAAAAAAAACTTAATGCCACTGTTGCTGTGGCAACTTTCAAGTTGTGGGAGGGAGAATAGGCCGATTTTCCCTACATAAAAGCATCAGGAGAATATTATAGCAGTGGGCTGTTCTTTATGACTCTGGAGTATCATCACAGTAACTAGAAAAGGAGGACTTGAGGCACCTTAGAGACTAACGAATTTATTTGAGCATAAGCTTTCGTGAGCTACAGCTCACTTTAGGACGAAAGCTTATGCTCAAATAAATTGGTTCGTCTCTAAGGTGCCACAAGTCCTCCTTTTCTTTTTGCGAATATCGACGAACATGGCTGCTACTCTGAAACCTGTCACAGGAACTGTGACACTGTCCATGCTTTTACACAGGAATTCTGAAATTCAAGTAGCTCTGTAGCATGCTACATACTCCAGCCTTTGAACAAGATGTGGAGCAGGAAGTTGTCTCTGCCAGACACCGGTGGAAGTTAAAACATCTCATTAGCACTTTCTGAAGAGAGTAGGATATAGCACCGGGGCACTGGCCAACATTCCCTCTCCTAGGGAAACACATTCCAGTGTCCCAATCTGTGAGAAAGCTCCTAATGGCTGCCACGTTTGCATACAGGTATCCCAGTTAGCACTTTGCAAAGTGCTTTTCGATACCTTATGTATAGGGGTCTACTCAAATCACAGAGAAATCACACAAATTTTGCAGGTTGGTCATGGCACAAATAGCAAATTTTGCAGATGTGTTACACATCGGTGAAATTTTCTGTTTATGCCGTGACCAACCCATAGGAAATGTGTGATTTCTCCGTAGCGTTTCTCAAACTAGGGGTCCGGACCCAAAAGGGGGTTGCAAGCCTTTCAGGGCGTTGCAGCAATGCCACCCTCACTTCTGCGCTGTTGCTGATGGCAGCACTGCCTGCAGCTGGGAGGCGGGAGAGCAGCGGCTGCTGCCTAGCTGCCCAGCGCTCACGGCAGCACCGCTGCCAGCAGCAGCCCAGAAGTAAGGTTGGCAGTACCATACCACCTTTACTTCTCTGCAGCTGTTGGCTGCGGTCCTGCCTTCAGACCTGGGAGCCCAACCAGCAGCCACTGCTCTCTAGCCTGCCTTCAGAGCTGGGCGGCTGGAGAGAGGCAGTGCAGCCGGCAGCAGCTGCAGAGAAGTGAGGGTGCCATGGTATTGCCACCCTTCCTTCTGAGCTTGGTGTCCTGGCAGCAGCCACCATTCTCTGCTCTGCCTTCACAGCTGGGCAGCCGGAGACCATATTTCACGGTCCATGACGTGATTTTCACGGCCAACGGATTTGGTAGACCCCTACCTATGTGTGAAAGGAGCTGTATAATCCATTCTACTGTCCTAGCCTGCTCTTACTCTGAATCTTCTTAAGGACTTTCTGTATCTGTATAGCAAGGTTTCTGAGGGAGTGATCACTACAAGAATGGAGAATGAGAAAGCTAGTTAGAAAAGAAAATGCATGGCCGGTTTAAGGACTTTACTATTGGGCTATGAGCCAGGTTTCCCAATAAAGAAAGGAGTTATAATAAATATAAGAAACAGAACCATGCACATTCTTATTTATTTAGGCAATGGAGCCTTCAAGAACAGGCATACAGGTCTTCTTTGCTCCACACAGACACTAGACATGGACTGTGCTTGAGGGACAAAGGGAGTTCATCTCTAAGGGAATGACCTGGCTCCAGTTGAAACACTAGAATTAATTGGATTGGGCTCTACGCTAGACTCAGGGCTTTAGGCAGGCCTAGTACACGTGGTAGAGTTTTGATTCAAACACCTGCTCTCCTACACAATGGCAGAAATGGCAAATGTCTCACAGTACTATAGAAGTCTTTGCTAGGGATGGAAATAAGTGTTACCAGAAAAGCGTTTCTTGTGGAATTACTGCAGTTTACACCAAATATATTGTTTCATTTTTTAAGTTGATGGCATAGTTAGGCTATGAACCCAAATCACCATTGTAATCAGCACTACTGGAAGGTCTGGAAATTCCGTAGAAGATTCACTGCTAAAGGAAGGGAGAAGCAGTCACTGAAAAGGTGAGTAGAAAATATTTGAAGTTATCAAACAGAATCATCTTAAACCTCTTTACTAGATTAACAACTTACTGCCATCTTTATATTTACGGTCTAGAAACGGCCACAACTTCAGTCAAATACAAAAGGTCCATACATGTGCAAAACGGACAGAAAGCAAACGCTGAGCATTGTCACTGCACATGCGCTGTGTGAAGATGAGCACAACAGCTTCATAGGAAGCAGAGGCACACACTTAACAGCGGCACTAAAATGCAATAAACTCTTTCCTAACATAGGCTGAACCAAAAGGGAAACAGCCAGACTTGACAGAGTCACACCAGTGCCAGCAAGGACCACACAGCATGACAGTCATTTTAGCTACAATGCTCACAACTACATAAATCAGGATGAAATACATGTTGGATTTGCTTAGCCTTAACCAATGGGCAGCACAATGGAAAAATTACTGGGAAAGCCACACACAAAAAGCAGATTTCTAGAGCAAGCTGAATTATGAAAGGAATCTGCCATTAGGGCTGTTTGGACAATCACATGGAAATGACTATAATTTAGACTAACGTGTCTCCTGAATGTACGATGGTGTAAAAGAATCTCATCACCAAGGTCTTTGGAACCTGATGGAAATATGCATTGCTTGGGCACCCTGTAGGGAGGCACAAGCCTTGGGCTGACCTGAAGACCTCACACACGGCTTTGACATTCACAAGTAATGCAACCATCCCTAACTCATACCAAGAAAGCCCTCTCGATATCTCCCCATGCCACCACCAAATGCTCTCAATTTATAAATCAATAAATTAACTTTGATAATGAGCCTCTATCATCAGTTGCCGCCTAAAAGCAAGAAGAGCAGATGGAAAGTTATATTTCCATCATGTTCCCTCTTCCACCACAGTCACTAATAAAAGTAGAGCTGAGTTCTGGTGGGAAGTGTGAACATTTATGAGTAGATGAAACCTGCTCCATCTGCTCAAGCAGATGGGACAGAACGATGCGGTTAGAATGACAAAGTAGCCACGTGGGAGAAATGGATTTGGAACAGCGCACGTACCTCTGGGCCAACGTATCACACGGCGACCCCTTCCTCTTCCGGGAATCAGGGTTAGCAGGATCTGTTGAGCTGTCCCCAAGGCCACTCATGTTGAGCTACTTTGCACCTATACACGAAAGAGAAACACGAATCAGGAACCTGACAGGGGGAGCAGCTTACAACCAGGTAATGAATGATTCATACACAGGAATACCAGAAAGCATGAATCCAGTGACCACCGAATAGAAAACTACTCCAGCAGCCAATTGCTCTTAATGTTAAACATCATCTCCCTAATCTTCCACCAGAATATATTACCTTCTTCAGTTTTAGCCTCGTCCCACCAACTTGTAAAGGAAGCTTATGTAGAAAGTACAAGTGGAGAAAATAGACCATGTATATTACCACCTTGAAGGTATTTCTCTCATACAAGCCCTCAGCCTCTATATCCCTTTTCTTCTATATGATATGGATTGAACTCCCTCAGTTTCCCCTGCCCCCATTGCTTTTAAATCTGGTTCTTGTATCATTTCCATTTCCCTTCTCTGTTTTTTTCCCCAATACCCTCCAACAAGGTTCAGAACAGCACCCACTACTCCAGATATGATCTTCAAAGGGCTCTGTGCACACAGCCTTGTTATGAGAACACTCTATATACAGGGGAGAACTGAGTTATATTCATTTATTTTTTGGCAGCGTGACACAGTTTGGTGATTTTCAGTTACCTTTAGCATCCTCTGGTTTCTCTGATTTCTAGATAGCTGCCCCACCCCCTCACATTTGCGTCTGTGCTATCTACTCCCTCGCTCTCGCTCTCGCAGTATATGGCTTTACATTAATTGGAAATAACTCATCTTGTTGGATGTAACATCCCCCCCTCCAAAAAAAATTGTTTTCTCATCTCCCTTTACAGTTGGACTTCTGTGTTTGGTACCTCTCCCATTTTGCATCAGTGTTGACTTAAGACCATCCATTAGTGCAGAGGTTCCCATTAGGTGACTGGTCACATGGCAGGTGGCACTCCTTGTTTCCAGTTCCATTAAAAGAAGCTTTTTTTTTTTTTTTTTTTTTAAAAAACCCTATTATCATTGGCCCAGGAATGCAATTGCTATAGATGCTGCAGCGCTGTTATGGGATTATCGACGGAAGGAGGTGGTGTCCATGCGAGAAGACACAGAAGAGGCAAGTGTACTTTAGACACTCATTCTATTAAGATGTGGTCCACAGTAGGAAAGTGTTTGCAAATCCCTGCCTAGCAGCTTTAATAAAATTCCTAAGCATTGAGGGTTACAATATTGCAAAATCCCATTTGCTACCACTCCCTAATTAGGAGTTTTTAAATACAACCTTATTTATTTAAACAAAGAAGTAACAAAATTCCAAATATACTGACAAGAATTTTCAAAAGTAACCAGTGATTTGGGGTATTTCAATACCTGATATTTCTATCCTGCAATTTCTCCATATAATGTAGGTTGCCTTTTATTTTATTTTTAATATTATTTGTACCACCATAAAATCTAGGCACCCCAGTAATGGACAAGAAGTCCACTTTATTAGGTGCTGTACAAACAGAAAAATGATCTCTGCCCCAAAGAGTTTACAATCTAAGCAGAAGAGAAGAATCAACAGATTGATAAAGAGAGACCGGGGAGTACAAGGAATCAATGAGACAACATTGGGTCAGCATTATACACAGTGGTCTCAGCACACTAGCAGTCTAACTGTTGTCAAGTTTTTTGTAGACGACAAAGCAAAGGAGAGACTTTTAAGGAGATCTGAAGGACAATGAAGTAGCTTTACACATGTTTACAGGAAGCTCCTCCCAAGGGTGAGGGGCATCATAGGAGTAACCATGACGATGCTTGTTTAAAAATTTAACAAGTGGGCAAGGGTTGCTAGCATCATGGGCTAATCAGAGATGGGGATCGGCGTCTCGCTGCTGAATCAGAGATAAGTTGTGTAGAACCTTGAAGGCAAAGACAAGCAGCTTATATTTGATACAATAGAGAAAAGAGGAGGGAAAAGAGGGGGTAACATGGCAAAGCGATGGGCTAGGAGGATGTCCTCTGCAGCAGCAGTCTCAATAGATACGAGCGGGGCAAGATTGCATTTGTCAAGGCCAGAGAACAGGATGTTGCAGTATTCGAGACACAAGATGATAAGAGCCTGGAAGAGAGTTTTCTATGTATGGATGGGTAGGAAAGGCTGTATCTTAAGGGTGGTTAATCAGCTTTCTTTCTAGCACTGCTAAAATCCAGGCCACCTATTCTCTTAAGTTATTAAGCTATGTTTTTAAAAGTGGGTTATTTAAAAAAATTAAACACCTAAACCAATTTGAGAGTCAACCCCTTCCAGATACTTGCCTCATGGCTTTCTACACTCAACAACACAAACAGAAATTCCCAGAACAAATGATCTGGTAGTAATGGGGGACTAACTACCCAGACATCTGTTAGAAAAGCAATACAACAAAATACAAAATTTCCAATACGTTTTTTGGAATGTATTGGGGACAACCTTGTGTTTCACAATGTGGAGGAAACAGGCAGCAGGAAAACCATTTTAGACTTTATTCTGACTAACAGGGAGGAATTGGTTGCAAATTTGAAGGTGGAAGACAGTTTGGGTGAAAGTGATCATGAAATAACAGATTTCATGATTCTATGTAAAGGAAGAAGTAAGAGCAGAAAAAGGAGTTTAGGAAAGCTGGCAGTTTCTCAAAGAGATGTTAAAGGAGCAACAACAAACTATCCCGATGCGAAGAAAAGATAGGAAGACTAGTAAGAGGCTAAAGAGCTCCTGATGGAGTTATATTGATTACTTGAAAAAAAAAAAAGGAATCCTACAAAAAGGGGAAAGATGGACAAATTGCTAAGGAGAAGTACAAAAGAATAACACAAGCAAGTAGGGACAAAAGCAGAAAGGACAAGGCACAAACGAGTACATCTAGGAAGGGACATAAAAGACAATAAGAAGAGGTTCTTTAAATACATTAGGCGCAAGAGAAAGGCAAAGAAAGTGTAGGTCCTGTACTTAGCAGGGAAGGAGAGGTAAAAACAGACAACATGAATGGTGACAGGTAGACAACATGAAGAAGGCCAAGATCCTTAATGTCTATTTTGCCTGTATCCACTAAAAAGCTAAATTGTGACCAGGCACTCAAAACACAATTAATATTAACATCAGCGGAAGGAATGCAGGTCAAAGTAGGAAGAACAAGTTATAGACTATTTAGATAAATTACATGTATTCAGGTCATCAAGGCCTGATGAAATTCATCTTAGGGTGCTTAAGAAACTAGCTGAAGCAATTTCTGAACTGTTCACAATTATCTCTGAGAACTCATGGAGAATGGATGAGGTCCCAGAGGATTGGAGAAGGGCAAACCGGGTATCTATCTTTAAAAAAAGGAACAAAGAGGACCTGGGGAACTACAGACCAGTCAGCCTAACTCTTTACCTGAAAAGATATTGGAACAAATTATGAAACAATCAATTTGTAAGCACCTAGAGGATAACAAGGTCATATGTAATAATCACAAGGCTTTGTCAAGAACAAATCATGCCAAGCCAATCTAATTTCATACTTTTACAGGGATACCGGCCTAGTGGATAAGCTGTAGATGTGATATATCTTGATTTTAGAAATGCTTTTGACATATCCCATATGACATTCTCATAAGCAAACTAGGGAAATGTAGTCTAGGTGAAACTACCATAAAGTGGGTGGACAACTGGTTGAAAGACCATACTCAGAGTAGTTATCATTGGTTCACTGTCAAACTGTGAGAATGTGTCTAGTGGGATCCCACAAGGGTCTTTTCTGGGCCTGGTACTAGTTGATATTTTCCATAATGACTTAGATAACGGAATGGAAAGCGTGCTTATAAAATCTGCAGATGACACCAAGCTAGAAGGGATTGCTAGAACTCTAGAGAAAAGGATTAAAATTCAAAACAACCTTGCCAAAAAGTATCCATCTGAAATCAACTAGATGAAATTCAGTAAAGACAAGTGAAAAGTACTACACTTAGGAAGGAAAAAATCAAATGCACAGCTACAAAATGGGAAATAACTGGCTATGCAGTAGTACAGCTGATAAGGATTTGGGTATACAGGTACAGTGGATCACAAATTGAATATGCGTCAACAATGTGATGCAGTGTTATTGTAGCTGTGTTGCTCCCAGGATATTAGAGACACAATGTAATGCAGTTGAGAAAAAGGATGATATTATTCTGGGGTGTAGTAACAGGAGTGTCATACATAAGACATAGAAGGTAACTGTCCTGATCTACATGGCACTGGTGTGGCCTCAGCTGGAGTACACTGTGCACCACCCTTTAACAAAGATGTGGATAAACTGGAGAGAGCCCAGGGAACTGCAGCAAAAATTATCAAAGGTTTAGAAAACCTATGAAGAAAGTTTTTAAAAATGGGCATGTTTAGTCTTGAGAAAAGAAGACTGGGGGCCGGGGGCGGAGGGGAGGAGAGCGAGAGACCTGATAACAGTTTTCCAGTATGGTTAAGGGCTGTTATAAAGAGGACGGTGATCAATTATTCTGCATGTCCACTGAAAGTAGGACAAGAAGTAACTGGTTCAATTTGCAGCAAGGGAGATTTAGGTTAGATAATAGGAAAAGCTTTCTAGCTATAAAGATAGTTAACTACTGGAATAGGCTTCCAAGGGGGGCTGTGGAATCCCCATCACTGGAGGTTTCTAAGAACAGGTTAGACAAATACCTAACAGGGATGGTCTAGGTTTACATGGTCTTGTCTCAGTGTTGGGCGCTGGACTAAATGACTTTAGGGCTGAAAGAGTCCTTGAACATTTCTATGATTCTGGGACACACTTACTCAGCTTCGTATGGCTTGACAAACCAGCCAGACACTCTCAAAGGGCCAGATCCTGCAAGATGCTAATCACTCTCGACTCCCACTGGCTTCATAGAGTTGGTCTCTAAAGGTGGGATTTTCAAAAGAACTCAACACTGGCATAGCCCTGTCCCCACTGCAGGCAGTGATGAAACTCCCATGGACTTCAAAGGGAGCAGAGTTAGGCCAACACTGAGTCCTTTTGAAAACCTCACCCTCCATCTTTAAATGCCTTTTATGCATGCTCCTT